TCCATCCTATATCAATATGATTCATTCTATAAGCTCCTATCAGTGCCTCAAACCTCATATTCTTATGTAGCCGATTTAAGAAATAAATCCCAAAATTGTTCCTCAATTATTTGAATGTAACAGATTTAAACATAGAGTACCATATTTCATATAACTTCTAATAGATGTCAATTTCTCATTTCAACAATTACTTTCTATAAGAGGGTATGGCACGACTTTAATGCAGTATATCTAGGCTTGAAAGATACAATCCAAGGATTGAATGGTGTTATTCTCTCTCATTGCCTATTCTAAAGATCTATATCTTCATATGGAATTGAGTTTAAATCATATTGTTGAATTCTAGAATATTTGACTAACTTCAAACTTTTTTTCATCAAAAATAGATGAAAATAATCAAGAATCTATAATGTTACTAATTCCAGAAGGTCACCAAATATTACTAACTACAACAAAAAAATTGTGAGATAGCTTATAAGGTTGATTGGGTATGTACTATGAAGCTGCTTGGATAGTTGACAAATCTAGCCTTTCATTAAACAACAAGAGAACTGATTTATCAAAATGTAAGAAATTTGGGCAACCTAACCAATAAAGCAACAACATGATAGCACAATCTTCATCACTGATAGAAGAGAGAGCCACACAATTATTCTTCTGCGGTCATCTTTAAAGGGCCAAAACTCTCATAATGACAGAGACCTATAGATATCCTAGCACTATCAATCATCTTCCATGAATTCAAATCCTGAAATTCACACAACTTTGGAAAAATTTAGTAATGCATTTATGATCTCTTTTAGATGTCTTTGATGCAATCAAATGATCGCAAAATTACATAAAAAACTAGGACACCCTACACACTTTGACAAAATACAACAATTAAACGAAAAACAACTTCACTTTGATAATAGAAAGACAACGCATACAAACTTAGAACATTGAAACACCTAAAAATGATTTTACATCGCTTGAGAAGAAAGATACAAATGGGGTGGACACTTGCGAAGAGAAGAAATAGGTAAGAAGCCCGAGACGAAATCGTAGAGAGGACAAGCTCACAAGCTTTTTCAAGAAGAAAACCCTCGGGTTTTGGCTCCAAAAATTAACACATAATCTCCTTTTTTTTATCCACAAACATTATATATTTATAGGAGAAATAAGGCAGCCAAACAGTCCAAAATACCTCCAACCGAACCATCAAGACAGGGAAAACAGAAGGCCAGCAGCCAGTGTAGGAGCAGCAGCCGAAGGGCAACACAGGGAACTGGAACAGGCGCCCACAGGGAAGCGGAACAGGAAGCCAGGCCCAGGGGAGAAGAACCAGCCACGGAACAGGAGCCAGTCGGGGGAAACCGAAGGTGCCACAGAGAGGGGGAGAAGGGGGAATGAACACATTAATGAGCTGAAAAGAAGTAGCAACTCAACCAAAATGAGCTGGAGCCAAGCAGCTCCCCAAAACATAGCAAAACCGAACAGCCAAGCCCCAAACCGAGAACCCAACAGCAACCCAAAAACAAGGCAAATCATTTGCGCTCCCCCCCCCACCCCATGCCTACATCAGTGTTGAACGACAAATTCCAATTTAAATTTGTAACCAAGACAACAAAGTCAAAGGTTAGACCATATTACAAAGCATATTGCAATCACTTGATCCATCAGCGATTCTAGTAAGATTGTCACAACATGGGTTTTAATCATGAAAAATGGAAGCACTGCAATCATATAATCTAATCCACCAAGTACACGATCCATGAAATTGAATCTTCCAGTTTTACATTTAAAGAACATAGAAAAGTTATCTTTCATGCTAAGGTACAAAAATTGCAAGAAGAGGCGGCACTATTTCTATGCATTCCAACTGTATTGAAGAATGGATTTGGCTCGATGAAGGTTTGAGTTTTAACATTGGTTATAGTGCTGCCATGATTGCCCTTAACTTGAGAGTGGTGTGATACCTTCCACTCAACTGCTCATAAACGTGCGTCCAAATTTCTAGCAATGCTCACACCATGATCTGTCATTCCTTTGTTGATTTTCAATTGTAAATTGTGGCCCTAAGGCAACTAGGGCAAAAACTATAATGGCTGGGGTGATATCAAGTACTCCCAACATAACCTTTTTCTTTTTGCATTCACTCAAAACTTTAGAGAAGGCTTCTACAAGGCTTTAACAAATGCTTTTGCTAAGTATTCTTCCCCGAACTTCAACAATATCTTTAACAAGACTGGCCAAGAATTAGTAGATCCAATCTTTTTCAAAAATATTTTTTGTATTATTGATTGGCCTTATGACATTTCCACTCCAATCCTCGATGATATGACTGGGTTAGGGGCACCTTTATGGCTTGAGGATTGAAATCAGTTATTGATTACACTTAAAATTACTCAGAAAGGCATAAGAAAAATCTAGAGAAAAATGAAATGAAAGATAATTTAACTAAAGCTGTTAAAAAGACACTTTAAGTTTATTCCATATATGAACACTGAGAGGTGAATATCAACCAAATCTTTTCATAAAACACAAATTATATTAGTGCAATGTTGTTCCTCTAACTTCCAAGTCTAACTATTAGTTCTCTTACTTCATCAATGCATAACTTCTAATGCCTAATCATATCTTATGAACCACAATAAACTTTTTTTTTATTTTATTTTTTACCTTTTTTTCATATAACATTTTAAACACATACACCAGTAAGAGCTACAAAAAAAATTAAGCTCTAATACACTACACTTTAATTCTATAAGAAGACATCCTTAGCAAATCAAATAAAAAAACTAAAAGCATAATTTTGTACCTTATTTGATGAAATAGGTAGTTTTGGATCAGATTATTCAAGCTTGTAAACTTGATGTGAAACGTAATGCATGGAAACAAGAACTATTTGGGGATTTTAATATAAGATTGATAAAGCTTTGCTAGTTATATAATTAATGCTTACCCAAGTTAGGTTCTCGGAATTATCAAGTCGAAATTAAGTAAGGCATATGGTTACAACTAGATTAATGGGACAATATCAAATTGACAACATAGAATTAGATAGTAATGTTATGGAGAGAAACAATAATCCACAATTAACAAATAGAACTGTTCACCTTGGGTCTCTCACTCACTCTCTTGTTGGTGGCACTTTTAATTGAGGAATAATAAGAGCAATCCGAGCGATTTTGCCACTAGGAGACAAATGGGCACAAAGTGTAGTCCGTTGGAGTGGTAGCCGGTGGCGGGTAGTCCACGGGATGACTAGTGAGCATCCAACGTCCGGGGAGAATATGCCACCTCGATGAAAAGGTACTAGCGTGAACAAGATGCGATTTAAGTAATCCTCCACGGAAGAATCACGTCAAAGTTTACGTCGAAGAAAGGGGATTCAAGGTCGTTGGTTCGTCCTTCAAATCAGCAATCCCCTTAGCCTCAATAGTCTGGACAGCAACCTGGAATAGCTATGGAATTCTGGACGGCAACGGAAACCTTTGGGTTGAGAGATAATGTGTAGATATGCCCGCAGAAATCTGTGGACAGCAATCGGGCCTTCATGGAGCAGCAGTTTTGCAAAAGGTATTGGGCTAGAATTTTAATGATGAAGACGTCTCACAATCTGGACAGCAGGATCACTCCAAGAATGAATTCTGTTTCAGCCATCACGGGAAAGATCTGGCCGGCTAACAAGTGGAGGGAGGGGCAAGGCTTTGGCCAGATTTGGGCTCCTAGTTAGAAGCCAAGGAGGGAAATTCTGAAATGTATTTCAGATTTGGTGAATTAGGAATTAGGATGGAGTTCGAATTTCAACCCAAGTAATTAAGGAGAGTAAAGGGGTGGCTGATTTGTGGAGTTATTAAGGTGTATTAGGAGAGAGAGAGGAGGCCCATTAAGGGGCGGCCCACATGACTAGGAGAGAGAGCTTGGGTTTAATGCAATGGGGACCACAAACTTAATCACAGATTTTACAAAATCTGAATATAAAATTTCAGATTTCATAAGGGGAAATAACTTTCCTAATTTGAGGCAATCAATTGGAGCAATTTGAATTCAAATTTGAAATTGAAACTCAATTAAATTGATTGCCTAAATAAGGAGCTAAATTAGGAAACAAGTAATGGCTCATAAAACATTCAAATTTCAAATTCGAAATTCAAAGAGTGGGAGGAGGTGGCGGCCGGAAGGGGGAAAGGAGCCGGCACGCTGGGGAAGGGCTGGCCGGTGGCTGCTGGCCAGCGTTGGGGATGCAGGCCGGCGGCCTGGGCAATCCAGGTAGGGGCGGCGGCAAGAAGCAAGGGAGGAGAGAGTGTGGGGGAAATTCTCGGATCAAAGCACGAAATTCCAATCTCCCACTAGCGGCTTCAATCCAAATCTTCACAACACGAAGTGATCAAAAGAACTAAAGAAAAATGAAAGACAAGAAAAACCTAGAACTCACAAAGAGATCTAGTTTCTCCTACGAAGTCACTAAGAGATCAAGGAGGGTGAACTCACAAAGAGAACATAAGCGACAAATTTTCATTCATCAAAAACTAATCATACATAGGAAAATGGCCATATATATAGGCCTTCAAATGACAAAGAAAACAAAAGACTAAAATGCCCCTTGGGCTACAATAGCGACTAAATACCCATAAGGGCAAAAACGGAAACACATAAAAATCAAATAAACTACTACATAAATGACTCAAAATAAAACTCATGATCGTGGCCGTCGATTTCCGGCGTCTCTTGATGGTACATGTGTCGAAATCTCTGACGATGTCCTCATCAAAACTATTTCTAATTTAATTTTAAAGTTTTTACTTGTTTTTCATAGAACATTCTGAAACGCATACACCAGTAAGATTTACAAAATAAAGTAAGCTCTAATACACTACAATTTAGTTATATATGAAGACATCCTTCGCAAATAAAAAGAAAAAAAAACTAAAAGCACATTGCAAACTTGCTTTTTATCTTATTTAATGAAATAGATAGTTATGAATCAGACTATTCAAGCTTGCAAATATACTTACAATTTCTAAATTCAAAATCTTTTGCTTTCTTGTTCATTTCATCAATGATCTGACGCTTTCCCTTTAGCAACCATTCTTCCAACTTTTCCTGCAATGAAAATGATTGAATACAATGAACTCCATATGGTACAATGAAATCTTTGAATAGGTATACAAGCATTATAATCAAGTATCACAAGAAATTAAAATGACTTCATAATGAGAAGCCTTTTATCTAAACAAAATACAAAAATTTTAATCAAATTAATTTATTGTAAAATAGAAAACATCATAAAGACTATTTAAAACTTTTAAACATTTTCTATTGCATTACGTGTACAACACAGTAGAAAATAAGACAATATTGAGTACCTTCAAACATTTCAAGGGTACCAACAATAAACGAAAGAACAAATAAATTCAGATCTCAACCGTATGATTCTGGCATGATATTAAGCAAGCAAGTGAACAGGGAGGAAATGTAGCAAGCGAGCAAAGCAAGGCTTTTGTTAGGAGGCACTGGAATTTTCCTTTTTAATTCTCTTTTTTCTTGCAATAAAAAATCATTAATTATAAAAGATTAAAGAAAGATTTAACACAGAAGAAGAAAATCAATTCTACAGTAAGGAACTAGTACTAGAAAAGCCAAGCATAAAAGTAGAAAATTATCCCAAAAAATAAGCAAAGTGTTTAAAATAACATTGAAACCACCTCCTTATAGGAGGTTGTTCTTGCATTGCGAGTGAATTTGGTTGCAATTTGGATGCAACGCTCTACAATCTAGCTTTCATTTTGCAAAATGAAATGTGAGCCCTTTGTGAAGTTTTTAATAGCCCCTCGCTGACAAATTTTGAAGTATGAACTTGATCAATCTCATTTAAGAACAAATGGGAATCTTATATAAAATCTAAGAATAACCTCGGAGCGTCTAAATCTAATTTTGAATACTACCAAAAATATTCGCAAAAAATAACAATTGTTATTGCAAAAAATAACAATTATGTCTTTCTCCATGATGCACCATATTCCAATGTTGCTGCTTCTTTATCTTCTCCTTTTTCTAACATAGCCTTCCTCATCCTTCTCCTTAATCTTTATTCATCCTTCTCTTTTTTTCTTGGAGCTACTGTTGGTGCTCCTAGCACTACTAATGACATAACCGGAGTCGGGAGGTATGGATAGTGCTTGAACCATACACTAAAAAAATAGAGTTCCATAATTCCTTTTTATCACAAATTATTTCAAATAAAAAAAAAACTTGTATTGAGATATCATTTTGAACTAGTAACTGCCTTCATCATTGTTAAAGAGAAATAAATGCTTCAATCAAAAGAAGATTGTATCATTGTCCCACAAATATGAATATCAAAAGCACATAACAACATCCAATAGATCCACATCGTATGGACCTAAACCTGATGCGGATATCCGACTGTAGATATTAATCAAAGGAAGAGACGAAGATCGACGGCCGAGAACCCTCCATTTTTAATCTTAGTTTATAAATTGTATTTTTGATTTAATTATGCATTTTCAGTTTTTACCCTTACTTAAGAGTCTTGTTTTATGTAAGCCCAAGGGGCAAAGTTGTCTCTTAGTTTCTTTTAAGGCCTATACATAGAGGTCATTGCTCTTGTATTAGACAATGATGGATTAATAAAAAAAATTGTTTCTAAACTTTTTCTCGAGAGCTATGGGAGTTCTTAGGAGAGTGGAAGTCCCTATGTGAGGGCAATGAAATACCCACTAGTTGTAGGATGTGTCCGGGCTCGTGGTTGAAGTCCCTAGGTGAGGGCGTCACATCACCCGTCAGCCGTAGGAAGTGTCCGGGCGCACGGTTTTATCTTTCTTTCCCTTAACTGATGTAGAACGTACATGCGAAGATGAGTTGTTTAAAGAAATTTGCACTTAATATTTCAGGAACAATATTAAATAAAACTTATGCCGATTTAAACGCTAAGATAAAACAATAAGGCAATAAAACCAGCTTAGGCTAAATCACATGCATAGGAGTTAAGGTAGTAAAACAATCAATTAATCTAATATTGTGTTCGTGATTGATTTTCACGATAATCCCTAAACTAACAATGAGATTAGTCACTAAGAGATATCTCCCACTCAACTCTCTAATATACTAGACTTTAGCGGAGAGAATTAACACAGTCCTAGTGAATCAAATTACAACCACAATCGAAGACAACTAGTAAGGTAAATGATTTAGAGGATTAGCTCACCGTCGTCAAGGCTTAGCAACCATCCATGTTTATCGGAGTTCGGAATTTGGGACAGCAAGTAGGGGATTCCCTGAGGGTTTAACAGCAGTTATTCTTACTAGAATTCCTGGGACAGCAATCTGTTAATATCCAGAAATTCTGGACAGCAAATGGGGTCGTTCCAGCAACCTGGACATCAAACTACCTTGCTGAAAAGTGCAGGACAGCAACCTTCGAGGTGGACTGAACCCTGGGCAGCAGTTGAGGGGAGACTAGGGCTGCTGGACAGATGGCAGTGGCCTTGAAGTGGTGCAGGACAGCAGGTTGTCCTCTCTGAAATTCTGGGACAGCACTCAGTAATACCAAAGAATAGAAGAAACTGAGAGGGAGAAACTGTGAGGGCCAGCTGCTAGGGTTGAGAGGGAATTACGAATTGTTTGGAAGGTTTAAGGGAGGGAATTAATGTGAGTTAATTAGTTTGTGGAGAGAGGTAGGGGAGAGGGAAGGCCGGCCATAGGGAAAGGAAGGGAAAACATCTAGGTTCGATGTATGTGGTCCCCATGCAATCAATTTAATTATATGTTTAAATCTGAATTAATTTCAGATTTTAGAGATTGAATGGGTTTCCAAAAATATGATTCATTAATATGGGATTAATTTGAAATTCAAATAAGTTTGAATTCAAATCAAGAAGCTTCCATTTTAATAGAAAGATATTTTAGGAAAGTAATTAAGAGGGGATTTAAATTTTGAAATTCAAAATCCATGAGGGATTTGGAGGGGATTAAATTTGAAATTTTGATTTCAAATTCAAAGAGGGTGATGCCCAAAGAGGAAAACACGAGGAAGCCTAATAAAGGTTGGGGGGGGTGCGGGCGGAATTAAGTGGGGGAGGAGGATTGTGGGGAGGAATTTAAGGGTTTCTAAAATAACTCATGAAAATTAGAAAAGACATTAAGAAATCCAATCTAATTTGAATTTCAAATAGGATTGATTTTATGCACTTTCCTAATTAGGATTTGCAAATAAAAAAAGTATTTAAATTTTGAATTTCAAATTTCAAATAAAATTAATTTCTTTCCTTTCCTCTTAGAGTTAATTTAAGAAGGGTATTATGACAATTGGAATCATCATAATGGAATGGGGAAAGAGGGGAGGCCAGCAGCAAAGGGGAAGGGGGCGGCTAGGTGTTGGGTTGGATGAAGCTATGGTGGCGGTTGGGCTTGAGGTGGTGGAGTTGTAGGGTGATTTGAGCAGGGAAGATGGCCAGCGGTGGAAGTTAGGACAAGTCGGCGGGTGGGGTGGAGGAAACGGAGGAGAAGATGAAGATAAATTAAAACCACGAGTCACGGACTCTTCCAACGACTGGTGGGTATTGCGCTTTCTCACCTTGAGCTCTATCTCCATTCTCTCTAGTGCACTCACAAGAAGAAGAAGAAGAAGGAAAACACATAAAATTTCATTCTCAAATCATCATCCCAAAATACGAAACAACTAGCATATAAATAGGCCTCATGAAAAGAAAAGAAATAAAAGACTAAAATGCCCTTCAGGCTACAACACTACATGCCCACCCGTAAGGGTATAAAGGGAAAAACAACAATATAAAATAAACTAGTACATAAAACATATAAATAAATAACTCAAGATCGTAGCTGTTGATCTCTGATGTCCTCATCATTCTCCCCAGGTGGGAGAAAACTCGACTCCGTCGAGTGGGTATCTCAAGAACTCTCATGTATTTGAGTTGATCAGTTGTATCTCCTTGCGCTCTGATCATGTATCCTCTGACTCTGGTGTACCTCTCCACCTCATCAGCTATCTTCTTCGTCCACCCTCAATTGTGGAAATAATGTCATCACTCGGAATCATGTCAACCTTCTCCACTATAGGTAATTTGGGAGTATTCGGGGAGTGGATGTAGGTTGGTGTTCTCACAGGGTGGGGTCACACAAGGCTCAATTTGAAGTGGCGGTGGTGGGTGGTTAACTCTGGATCCTCATAGGTTACTAAATCTTCTATGTTAATAGAGGGATGAATGTTGAACTCTGCAGACAGATCTACCGCGTAGGCGCTATCAATGATTTTCTTGACTGTTTTAATTGGTCCCGCACTTCTAGCATGTGATTCCTTCACAATTCCCACAACTTGTGGGGACTGCGCCGGACGAATCCGCATCGTCGCTGAATTACCAACCTCAAAAGCTTTAAATTATCATTTTTGAATTCAGCATAAAGTCTATAATTATTATTGCTCAGTTTCAATTAGGCGAGCAACTTCCTTAAGTAGTTCATGCAAATGCGGTATGTTTTTAGGCGAGGTATTTTCAAGACTCAACAAAATAAATAATGATGTGATGCAAGAGACTCAGTGTGCATGATGATTGGCATAAACTTTGGGTATACCTCTGTTTAAAATTGCGCAATAAGAGGCGCGCCTCTGCGCAATTCTTGCAAAAAACGCCTCGAGGCGTGCGCAATTGCTGGCAATGGTGAGGCGTACGCCTCACATTGGCTGAGGCGCGCCTCTGTTGCGCAATTTTGAGAGAGGCGTACGCCTCAACCAAAAGGGCCCACCTACTTAAAATGACTCCTCCCTTTCCCCCACACCCGATCGGCTCACCTGCTTCCCGATTCTTTCCGCCCGTAAGCTCCAGATCGCGAAAACCTGAGGCTCCCGTCCGGTCGGCCAACCTTCCCGCCGGCGCCGCCTCTCTCCGGCGAAGTTGAAGTGTCTGGCCGCCTTGTAGGAGAAGTCCAAAAAGGTTTTTAGGTTTTTTTTTACTTTTTGGTTAGATTTTTGAAGTGAAAGAAATTTTAGGGTTTTAGATTTTTGGAAATAGGATTTGCCATCCGGATTTTTCCGGATTCTTTTCAGGGAATTTTATGGGAAATTG